AAGTTCAGACTGTGCTGCAACCATAGAGCATACTCAGATAAAATTTTGGCTTTGATACCAGTTTGTTGAAAAAAGTGGATAAATACAAAAATATATATGATAAAAGTAATGGAAATAAAATAGGAAAATAACGACACCAAGAAATTTACGTGGAAACCCTTCTCAATAAAGGATAAAACCACGGGACAATAGGAGCAACTGATATCACTTTAGTAAGGAATTTTACACAGTGTAGTCACGAATAAATACTAAAAGTGAATACTACACACTCAAAAAGAACAGCGCTCTTTTGGTTTCCACCTTACTTAAATATAGCTCACACTCTATTTTTCTTCACAGGCTATTTTTTTTTGTATAGTCTATGGAATACCTTGCTTTGCTCTCAAAGTAGTTTTTCTCTCTATCTTGGTGTGTTCTACAAATGAGCAAGAATGTTCTATTTATAGAAGGATAAAATCATGCTTATGTCAGTAATGACATAGGTAAATATAGCAAAGTCAAAAATGATTACAAATCTTATCAATTTGCCAACCACCAAATCTTTTATTTTCAACTACAATTACTATTCGTTTTTAACATTTGCTTATAGCAATTGAATAACTAAAATTGACCAAAAAATGGGATGAATTCAACAACTCCATGGGATTGGGGGTTGGGGTGGGGGGGATCCCAGCCAACCCGAGGGCCTTGCCATAAGCCAGATGTTGGTGTTACCAAAATATCCCCTTCTCAATTCTTGCCTCATGCACCATGATGCTCTTGGAAATCGAACAATGTTCTTGACTATTCTATTTATTAGGATCAAACATTTACAATTATGCATGTCAAAAAATATAGCTAATATCAAAGATATAATTTTATTTTATTTATTAGGATCAAACATTTACAATTATGCATGTCAAAAAATATAGCTAATATCAAAGATATAATTTTATTTCTTAACGAAGCCTATCAAGCTAAAGAAGATTCATGGTTGATCATGACTGCAATATTATAGGTCACCCAGCCCCCTCGTGGACCTTGCCACAAACAGGAATTAAATTGGCATAATCCGACATTGTTCATGATAAATTCTTAGTTCAGAGTTTAACATTCACACGCAAAAGAATTTTTGTACAAAAATATATGTGCTTGATATAAGCTGGATAACACACGCCTCCTCACGTGCGGACTTGATTTTTTTACAAGAACATGTGCTTATGTATAGTATATACTAGAGTTCAATACCTGCAATTGGGAGTTTTTGGAGTAGCTGTAAACACCATCACCAGCATTCATGGGGAAAGATGTCATTTTTGCTCAATGTGTTCTCTTCACTCATAATGTGTTCTTATTTTTGTGGATTTTGCACTGTTTAAATCCATGGCCCATGCTTTGTCGTACAAGGATTTGTTAAAATCAGGGGCGGCTGTAATAAATTGGTGGCCTGAATTCAAATTCGTATAAGTCTTAAATTCGAATATATATATTTATTATTGCCAATTAGTTAATTTTTTTGAGACATAGTATTTATAATTTCTCAAACTTCTATTTTTCTTTACTTTTTTTATGAAAAGTTTTTATTTCTACGAATAATACTTTATATATTTTTTTAAAAATATACATATAACCTATTAATTTTTAAAATGATGTGGTCATCCAATTTTTGGGGCCTTAGATAATTGCTTCTTTTACGAAGCTGTAGAGCCGCTCTCGGTGAAAAAATATTTTTGAAACTTCACTCCAATTTAATTAGTTGAAGTATTTAGGATCGTAATTATATCTATACATTTCAAAATCATGGGTATATTTCATTTGCGAAGCATAATTATTTATAAATTAAATTTTATCTCTTTCGATAATGTTAATAAAAATAAAATAAGTAGATGCTTAAAAAATATAGAGTTTGTATAAGAAAAACTAATCTTGGTTTGACTAAAGACATTTAGTTAGTGGTTAATATCTAATTAAGTGATTCTATAGAATCTCAGTCTTATTATTTAAGTGGTTAATATCACTGGTATTATCATTAGTTATTATATAATGATTTATTTATCGTATAGTAATTAAGCTTATACAAACGAATCCATTTAGGAGCAACAAAATCCAAGCGACCTATTTATTGATACTCCACAGTTCACATAATGTCAATAAAATAAATAAAAATAAACCTTAACATAAATTGTGGTGTATAGTGGTGAAATCGTTTTATTCTTAATCAGAATTATAGAATTTTAATTTTAATTATAAAAAAATATTTGATAGAAATATCACCTTCAAATAAATTCTGCAATACACGATCTAAAATTTTTAATTAAAACTTTAAAATAAACATCAGACATCAAACGAGAAAAAAATTACAAATAAATTAAAAGTCCTAGTCATCGTGTCAGATTCATGATAGGTGTCAAACAAGTTGTAAAAGACAAGAAAACAAATAATTCATGAATAGCCATTTAAAAAATTATGTCCATACAATTCCTTAAGAGAAAAGATATAATATATAAACATAGAATATATTTTAATTTGACACTATATATTTGTTATGAAGACGAGTAAAAAAATAATATAAGATATAAAGATTTAATATGGATCAATCGGCCTACATTCACTGAGATGAACAATTTATTATACAAGTATGAAAATACAATATATAGATAGAAATAACTTCAACTCATTCGAAATACAAGGAGGTTCACACATTTAATAATGCATCAACGGTGTCCAACAAATTTCCCTCCTAACCAACACTTTCGAAGTCCTTAGGACGACAACTAAATATTAATTAAGTTAGAAGGAACGAACCTTTATTTATACAATCCTAAACATTTTCATACGGAAAAAGTACTAACCAACTGCAAAGATTTTATGTTTTTCTTTAAAAGAAATTATTTATGATTTAAAAATCGAGGACAAATACCTAACAAAAACATACATAAAAGTTAGTTTATGTACAAATAAAAAATAAAATATATAAATATTAATTATAGTCAAATTAAAAGATGCGATAATATATTTTAATAAAAGAAATTTGGCTATTTGATGCACATTTTTAGTTTTTTCAAAAAAGTAAACATGCTTATATAGAGTTTTAGCTTTATATGGCCGACAGTTTGGAATTTGTGTGGACAAAATTTGTAAAAGATTAATATTACTTGGACTTTCTTTAGATATTTATTTTGCTATCATGAATATATTTGGAACAAACTGATGAATCAAATGTGGCTTCATTTAGTTCACATATTAGTTATGTGTATGAATTATGATGCAAGAGTATTTATGCGATATGAATAATGGTAATGAATAATTTATTATGAGATGAATAATGATGCATGGATTATTAGAGAATGAATTAATATTGGGCACATTTGGGATGTTAGTAATGCATAGAGTTTGATTGGATGAATTCATAACTTATGATTTATAAATTAAAAGTCATAAGTTAATTTTTTTTAGGTACAAGGTATTTTTATCTTCAATGTTGATTACTTATGAAATTATATTGAAAAAAAGTATTTTTCCTTGTCATGACTTCAACCAAAAAAATTTGCTCATAACATAACAATATCAATTTTACACCACTAAATTGGATAACAATTCTAGTATCTTGTTATTTCAAAGAAGCAAATCAAGTGACAAATTTTATCACAAAACAAGCATTGGAGTGAGCACCCATTGATCATATTTTTGTTGTTTGCATTGTTATATGGAGTGTTTTGATCTTATTATAAGATGTTTTTATGTAAAATGACACTAGGAAAATTGAAGTTGAACGTAGTCAAAAAAGATCAATCGTAACATATTAACGTAGAAGGCAAGGGCGAATCCACGTAAAGACTATTTTTTCCTCTTGGTTTCTTGCCTTACTTCTAGGTTTCTATTTTTGCACCTCATATCTTCCCCTCTTCTAGGCTTCTATTTCCACCACCTAATTCTAGGCTTTCTGTTTTCTTTCCCTACTTCTAAGCTTCTAATTCCCTCTTTAATATTTTGTCTGTCTCTAATTATTTGTTAATTTTTTTTTTAGTTGTACTCACTTTGTTGCTTGTCCATTTTGCCAAATCAAGAAACGACAATTTTTTTTACCTATTATACATTTCATTAATGGTATATTTATATAAAGGACGCCCTGAAACCGGTGACGTGGCGCCACCACAAGCCTTTATTCTCCTTCTAATTTTAAAATTCCTAAAATACCCTCCATAATTCTCCTTCAATTCCCAAAAAAACCTCCCCCTCCAAACAGTCGTATCCCTAACTAAACAACATCTCCATTGCCTTACCAACGTGCCTCTTCCATACCGTCACCATATTATTGTATAATACTCCTAAATCAATACTCACATCTTACATTGTTGTAACTCTGCCTACACAGAACCTTCAATTCCCACCGTTGCTTCCTACTGCTACACTCATTCCCCCCCTTATGCTAATATGCATGCACTATCACTGCCTGATTCTGAATACAACAAGGATTTCAATCAAACCCCAGTCAGATCAGCTAAACATTGTTACATTTTTCATTCTTGCTTTACATTCGCCATAGCATTTCTCGGTATAGTAGTTCGCCCTCTTTCGCTTTATATGTTCAACGCACCGTTTTTTCAATAATCGATCTCCCGTACATTTCTAATTTGTCTCCAACAAGGTCTACTTATATGGATGCAAATGTACTGCCTGCTTCTAAGGACTCAAAGGATTTAAAAAGCAAACCCCCGCCCAATACAGGTATGCATTCATGCATATTCCACTCACCCGTTATGCCTGTGATATTGTTACGCTGTACAATGGTGCCTACTTGTGTGTCTCATATTTTCTTTCCCTATTTTATCTAGTTTGTCACCCACCATGACGCCCGCTATTGACGCAAATAAACTATCTGGTCTGGACCCAATGGAACATACAAAAAGACCCTGGCCACCCCAGGTATACATACATAAGTTTAACCGTTGCATCATTAATTGGACGTTTCACCCTCACACCCTTCTCTTGAATTTCATTATCCCTTAAATCATAAACAACTTTCTCAAATCTATATATACATAGGCATATAACGAATGTTGAAGAAACTATATCCAGTCCTTCAATTCTAACCACTCATACAGTATTGTCAGGTAACTCCCATATTATAACTTCTGCTTCTTTATTTCTGGTTACAGTTAATATTTTCTCCTTCTTACTTCTTAAAAAGAACTACCTCCACATCCTATTGAATGGGCATACACGCACCTATCAAAATTGAGAATCAATTACTTGCGGCGATAACACTCTCACACAAGGGCCTTCATTCAGGATTCTTTATAATATTATTTTATTACCAAAAATAACCTTCTTCTCGCATGAAAAGTTGTGATTTTTTTTTATGTAACGTTACGATTTTAATGAAAAGTTATGACTTTTTTGAAACATCGTGACTTTAATGAAAAGTCGCAACTTTTATGATAAGTTGCGACTTTTATGAAAAGTTACAACTTTTATGAAAAGTTGCTACTTTGATGAAGAGTTGCGATTTTTATGAAAGGCCGTGATCTTTCCAAAGAATTACAACTTTTCCAAATAGTTGTAACCTTTCTGATAAGGCGCAATAAATATTTTTTTTACACTTCCCTTTGTTGTCTATAAATAGAAAAATTTCCTCTCGTTTTTTAACTACGAAGATTCTGAACCTCCTCTTCTTCTTCTCCTCCTCCTTCACAATTATATATTTGTGTATTTTGGACCTGTTGAATAGCTCACTAACAGCATTGCTTATGATACATATCCTGGTATGTATTTTTACAATAATTAATTTATTCATAATTTATTATGGATAAATGATAAGATGTAATAATTTTTTCATTTTCCTTTACATTATTAACGTCTTTTACTACGTAATCTTTCATGTAAGATAATATAGTATTTTAGTGATAATGCTATATATATTTAAGTAATATTTTGTAAATACTTTGATTCTTAATTTCCGTGCGAAGCGTGGAGAATTTTACTAGTTACTTTGAAAATGGTAGAACTTTTTGAAACTTAAGTTTTTAATTCATTTACTTCACAATTAATAGGGGTAAAATAGTAATCTCACCATATCAATAATTATTTTCTTAATAGATGTGTTAATTCAAAAGTGGACAAGTAATTAGGGACAAAGAGGAATAGTTTTCAAAATAATATGGGCAACTAAATTTAAAATTAGGAAATTATTATTATTTATTGCTCACAATCTATTTTTATTTACAGGCTATTTTTTTCTTGTATAGTCTATGAAATATCTCACTTTGCTCTCAAATTGATTTTTTCTGTTAATATGGTGTGTTCCAGAAATGAGCTAATGGGCTCCTTTTATAGAAGTTTACAACTAATGATGTTACTAAAAACATCATAAAAATTTTTGAACATTCAAACTTTGTAACTATGTAATCTTACTAAGATTTAGTCGATATATAATTATACCAAATGAAGACTTTAATAAAAATGAGTCTGGAACCCCACGCATACAACTCACTCTGTGACCCGTCCGCGTGGAGCAAAATTCTTTTTGGACGGAAGGGAATTTTATTATATTGCTGACCAACAAAGGAAGATGAAAAAACCTCTGCTTTCAGTAATACTAGACACCAATACTGGTATTCCCTTCGTTTAAAAAAGGATGACCTAGTTTGACTAGAAACGGAGTTTAAGAAAAGAAAGAAAGTTTTTTAATCTTGTGGTCCTAAATTAAAGTTATGTCAAATATACAAAAATTCCCTTTAATATTATGATCTTAAACATGTCACATGGAAAGTTAAAGTTAAAGTGTTGACAAAAAAAGAAAGGGGACATTTTTTTTTGAAAGAAACTAAAAACTAAATAGGGTCATTCTTTTTTAAATGGAGGGAATATTTCATTGTTCATCTGTTTTATAAAGAAAAACCATAATATAAATGTTTATGTAGTCATCCAATTTCTTTTCAGATACAAAAAATAAAGTACAATATAGCCGCAAAAAATAGTTTTAATTTCTTTTTTTACCTTTTTCTCTTTTTCCATTCACATTTTTTATTTTTATTCTCATATTTTTACACTAAAAATGGAAGCAAAAAATTAAACAAAAATAAAATACTCAAATAATTATAAGCAAATAAACCAATAACAATGATATCAAACCACACGTTGAATCAAAGAAATAAAAATGAATCATGTGTGAAAGATTAAATATATCCTGAATTTTGCTGGAAGGATCATATCTATCTATGTATAAAAGGAGAAGAAAAAATGACACATGTCAACACTGAAATTTTTTAAAATTTTAAATATCAATAATTAAATAAATAATATCAACACATGTCAATAATTTGAATTAGAACGACACATATCAACATCACAAATTTTAAAATTTAACTAATTTTAATTAATCAATAATTAATTAAACAAAAATAGACACATGTCATTATTTACAATTAGACCCATTTATTAGATCCAATTAATACTACAATAATTACACAAAATTTTAAATAAACAATAATAAATTTGTTATAAAATCAAGCTCATAAGAATATAATAATAAAGAGAAGAAGACAAGAGAAGTAGATAGAAAAAGAGAAATTTTCTTCTTATTCAAGTCTATACAATGGTGAATGATATCTCTATTTATAGTGTTGAGATATCATAGTGAAAGGTCACCTTAAATTATACATAGTTGTCATCAAGGTTCATATCACCTTGGAATCTAATCACATTGGAAACACTAATACATGAATCCAATTAATTGTTGGATAACTCTAATGGATCATCCACATAACACAACACATTTATAACACTCCCCCTTGGATGTCCATATATAATGTGTCTCGTTAAAATCTTACTAGGAAAAACCCTATGGGAAAAAATTTTAGTGAAGGAAAAAGAATACACATATCTTTTGATACGCACTATTTGTTGCCTCATTAAAAACCTTGCCAGGAAAACCCAGTGGGAAAAAACCTCAGCCAAGGGAAAAAGAATGCAACGCGTATTATACTCCCCCTAATTAAAACATCAATTAATTTCTTGTGATGATGTCGCCAATCTTCGTGCATTGTGGTTGGTATATTCTTTTTCAAAGAAAAACCACACATTTATTGAATATGGTGTGTCATTTATCCTAACTAGACGCACTTTCGACTTGCTTGATGAAGGACTTTTATTTCTGCATAGCAACATTTGTTTCATTGATCGCCAGGATATTATTGTGCCTCCACATGCAAACACATAGCGTGCTTGAGATAGATCTTTTATGCGGATCTGATAAATATTCTGCATCTGCGTAATCAATCAATTTTATCTTGGATTCCTCAGGATAGAATAAACCCATAACTATGGTCCTTCGAGGATATTCAATCATCTGTTAAACACCATTTCAATGTCCTTTTATAGGAGAGAAACTGAATCTTGCCAGTAAATTTACTACAAAACAAATATCTGGTCAAATATTGTTAGTAAGATGCACTAGTGCCCTTGATTGCACCAAGATAGAGTTTCATCACCAAGAAACTCTTCATCCTTCTTTTATGATCAAACTGAATTATCATTTATGTCAAGTGATCTTATAATCATTGGAGTACTCAAACACGCAAACATCCTTCAAATGGCATATAAGTATGATCGTCCGATCGAGCCGTGGGATTTTTGGACTCAGGGCGATCTTTCTAATGGGCCCAACACTCCTTGGGTGTTAGGATATCTTAGGCCAATCCGCTACTTTGACTAGGAGTGAGTTTCATTTATAATGGAAAGGGTGATCCTAGCAAACCATGTGGGCTGGGACAGTTGACGACAATTGGTTATCAAGTAGACAATGGTGCCCCGAGGAAGATTTGGTTAACGAACAACTGCGAGCTCGCGTAATCGTCATTTAAGTGATAAATAAAAAATTATCGTTTGACGGAGTTGATACGCCATAAAAATGCAACAGTTGATATAATACAATAAAGGAACAAATAGACAGTCATTTCACATAGCCAAATAAATTTAGTTTTAAGGTTAAAATCCTTCAAATCCCCAGCGGAGTCATCATTCTGTTTTATTTAAAGAAAAATATTTTTATAGTTTAGGACTTGTTAGAGTCGTCACTTAATTGTTTAAGAAAAATCAAGAAAAAACTCAGTTTTCAGAAGATATAAACAGGAAACCTAATGAAAACTTAAAAAGGGAGTTCGGGAATTCATATTTATATTTTAGAAAGGTATTTACAACACTTAAAATAATCGCTAAATTGCAATTATCCAGTAACTAACTTATTTGGCCAAAAAGCTTAACTAGATTCAAGTTTATTTGACATCTTCGAAAAGGGTGGAGAGAGATCAACTATTATCTGAGTGAATTATTTTGACTCGCAAAATTATTTATTATCATCTTTTAAGTCTATTTAAAGTCGTTCGACGTAGTTGATTCGTTAACCTAATAGCGCCTTGCGAGGATTTGAAATTTTCCAACCTTAAATTTCACTGCAAATAATAACAAAACATGCAAGCGATAAAGGAAAGAGGAGAGAGAGAGAGGGGAAGTTGGGTCCAAATTAAATTTTTGTCCGCCTAGACCGGTATTTGGACCCATTCCATTTTGGGTCATTGGCCCATTTCCACCTATCCTAAAAATTCTAATAATACAAAGAAGGGAAAATTATATGGAATGACAAACATTCCTAAGTAATTATATAATAGGTGTATAGTTTAATTTTATTTACTTTCTATAATTATAGTTTTTTTTTGCTATAATTAATGGGGTCCACCACCTATTATTTAACCAATAATATATTTTTTTTTTAATTTTGTATATAATTTTACACAAAACAATATTATCTCTCCTATTCATATTCCACCTTTTTCTCCTACAATTAATACTTCTATCTAACTTGAATTCAAATTGTCCAAAATTCAATTACTCCCTCCCGAAGTTGAATTCAATTTTCGTAGGTACTCCTAAATTTTAGTCGTTTTCCTTTTTTTTTTCCTTATTCAACAATTGTATATGTATTGTGTTTCTTATGTTTTTTCATATTTTTTTGATGAAATAATCAATTGTTTGTTCTTATTAGATCTCAAATTAGTCACAGAATGAATAAATCATCTTCATCTATGAGAATTATCAGAGGTATTCTATTGCATGTCAATTTACAATCGTTTTTAATGGGTTTAACTCAAGATTTTGGGGTTGATGTAGGGTCTATGGTAAAATCAAAACAAGTTCAACATGAACAAACAATGGAAGAATTGAGATCAAAGAAAAAATATGACCCTACGGCAGTTCAAGAAGTTATTAACAATGCTAAAGCTAGAGGCATTAAAATTGTACAAAGAGGAAGATAGAGGAAAGCAGTAAACATTGATTCAGAGAAAAATGCATGTGAAGTTGACGGATTTGAAGAACATCATAATTATGAGGTAGTGACTTAAAACACAAATTCAGTTACAATTTGTTACTTAGATGTCAATATACAAAAAATTATTGTTTAAGTAAATTTTGTATTTACGTAATTGTATATAGTATATTGCATGTTTAGTACACACATGTTTAGTTATATATTCGTATATGTGTGTGAATTTGATTACTTTATACATACTTTAAGTTATGTATAATGAATAATATATTCAGTCTTAATAGTGATAGTAACAGATTGTATATTAAAGGCTCATTATTATTTTTGTTTTTGTATATATATACAAAAAGTAATTGGACTTAGTTATACAGATGGAAAAATTTCATATATGATTATAATTTGTATATTTTATTAGTTATATATACAAATTATTGAAGTTAGTATATATTAAGTTTATATACATATTCAAAACTTGATCTGTCCATGACTGTTTTCAAAATTGACTGTTTCTGTA